TTTCAAGCATTACCCGGATCTCAGAACACTTTACCTGCGACTAATCTGCCGTAACGGATTCGCACCGAGTTCGTATGGACTACCGAAAATTCACAAGCCCGACGTCCCCCTCCGACCGATTGTAGACTTCACTTCCTCCCCATGCCGAGCCCTTTCAAATCTTCTACACCAAATCTTCGCCCCACTAACGTGGAAGACACCAACTCATGTCCGTGACGCCAGCCACTTCGTGCAGCTAGTGTCAAATGTAAGCATCCGCGATGAGGAGAGCATGGTCTTATTTGACATCATCTCATTGTTCACCAACGTGCCGGTTCCCTTAGCTGTCTCCGCTGCCTGTGCTGCACTTGAGGAGGATGCAAGCCTGAGTGAAAGGACTCCTTTGACGGTTGACGAGCTCTGTCATCAACTGGAGTTCTGCCTCTCCAGTACGTACTTCTCCTATAATGGAACTATTTTCAGGCAGAACAGTTGAACCGCGATGGGAGCTTCCATCTTCATCACGAGGGCAAATCCGACCATGGAGTACATAGAAAAGAAAGCACTCAGTTCCTTCTCGCCGCGACCTAAGCTTTTTCTGGGTTATATGTTCTGCCTGAAAATATATATAATATATATATCGGCGAGACGAAAAACCTACCGGAACGACTGAAGCAACATGCCAACGATGTGCGGAAATTCTACAAAGAGCGCAGCGCAGTCGTCAAACATGCTGAGAGAAGTTGGATCAAAAAATAAATTGCGAAGCGACGGCCATCCTTGAAAGCGAGCCGAACTGGAGGAGAAGACTTGAGTCGTGGCACATACAGAGGACAGCCCATAATATCAACCGCTCTCTCGGAACCCTTCCCCCAGTGTATTCACACGAACTGCACTCGACGGCAAAACGAGAGAGAGAGAGAGAGAGAGAGAGGTCATTAGCCACCTCGCAAGTGCTTTGAAGACGACGCTGCTAGTAGCCTCCGCAGTCACCCCCGAGGAAGGAACCAAGTCGGTTCCGAAACGTCGGGTTTCTTCAATACTTTTGGTTGGAGTCTAAATCATCTCCCAGTTTCATACCCAACCAGAGAGACTTCTGTCGAATGTTTACTTTCACCTCTGTTTTTTGTTGTGAAGTCGAGTCAGCGGAGCATGACGGTGCGTCTACTTAGCTTCGTCATCGCTTTGCAGTCGACTTAGAATGAGTTAAGGCAAGACGCGTTCGTGAAAAACATGAACGCCAGGCAATACCCTGCACTGGCATGAGACGCTACATCTAGGCGCAGCGGTGAGTAGACAACGCTTCGTTTAAACTGTCAAATGCGACTCGCAAAGCTCCAACGTCGCAGCGAATGAGGAGATTTAGTGGTCGTCAGCCTCTTCGAGCAACAAAGGCACTGGTTCAGCCTGTTTTACCGCACCCCACTACCCGCGCTCCGCGAAGAACGAAACTGATACTGTAGCAAAAGGTCTGTAGACATTTCACTAGCTAACCCTATCCAATCCAAAGCCTGTACTTCCCATAATTCCTATGGGGGTACATGATCGCAGCGCCAGATTCCTCTCTAGGTATTATTGTATGAAACTCTATGCTGCTACCTTTAATATTTTCATGGTCACTATGTTTCAGCAAATTGTGACGTTTTAATATTGTTTAGGCTTGAACATGCTGTTGCTAAGATGATGCCATAGTGTACTTTTATGCTGACAAAAGTAGTCTTCAAGAAGACTGAGCAGTATTGCCATGTGTGTGGAGTGGTCGTGAATTTGGAGAAAACTAAGATTTGGTTAATGAGGAACAATACCATATAGGTCTGCTCATACTGGTTGGAACAGTACACCGTTAGGGCACCTTGGGTCTTTGCATCAAGTACGAACACTGGGCCACAGTGCTTGTCAGCACTCACAATTGTCAAGCGCGCCAATCAAGCACAGAATAACTTTGTGTTCTCCTGTCTGCACGTATGCAATGTTTTCTTTATCGCAAAGGTTATTGACGTGTGTCACGTATTAAACTGCTCGTGAGATAAAGATTAGGCTGCGCATAGAGTATTCGCTACTTTCATGTGAGGGTACAATGGGAACCAAAGTGCAGGGATAATTTGTTTCTCCCTTAAGTATCTGCTAAGATAATGCATTTGTTCATACGCTAACTTAGGCATCCGTTTCTCTTTTACGAATTGGCAAATCGTTTATACACTTGCACCTTGCCTGCCCTTGAGTCTGGCTAAATAAAGGTGCACCTGGAGAATGGGTTGTGGACTTCGACATCGAAAAACTATGTACTCAGGCCTACATGACTAATTTGAGCATGATAATGCAGTTATAGTAATTAATAATATAGCAAAATGCATTCCTCCCCAATGCCCTCTTTGCTTGGCAATGCAAACACGGGTGAGTGCCGAGTCGTAGCAACTGAGCGAAGAAAAGATGCATTGGCAAAAGGTAACGATAATCATGAACTGACTTCACCCAGGAGTAGTGGGAGTAAGGGCTAACCAGCTCCGAGCTCGAGAACGCCTGATCTTCCGGTCTATATCAGCAGCGGTCGCTAGCATCTTTAGGAACTTGGAATAGGCCACCCACCTATATTTCTCTTTTTTTTCGGCTCACACAAATGCTTCTACAACACGTCCGGCACTTAGTCACTAGTTCTTCGGCAATAAATACGACACAAAAAGTGCCTAGGTACCCTCGTGATTTCTAAATGCAGAAATAAAGGCTGCAAGTAGTACAAGAGGAAAAAAGGAGCTTGTTTTGCTTTTATTATTCGAAATTTCAAAACAAAATGTCATGAGCTAGATGGGCGCTCTGCCGTTTAGTTTTTAAAACCTCGGTGTAAATCACGGCTGCATCAACGGTTGGTTTCAAAGAAAAAAAAGTGATATAGAACAATTGTCATCTATATATCTGTCGCGCTTCACAAGCATGATCTGCTTGAAAGAGGTGCTATGTAGCAACACAGTCTATATAAGGACAGAATTCTCATAGGTGCTGAGCTTGAAAAAATACCATGCTTCTCATCAGCCAAACCATTTAAAAAATACTACATTATTGTTGAATAGAGACACTGACTTTTTAATGTTTGAAGTTTGAAAAACAACGCGTAGACGAAAACGTGCTCTATGTTCGGGAAAAGGCACAATTCCATTTTAATTCCATGCAAAAGGTGCTTCATTCCATTCCAATTTCATTACTCCAAGTATTATTCCCATTCCATTCCGGGCTCGTGAAAATCTAGAATGACTGCTCTATAGTACCTTCAAAACTCCAACGATTCATACCTCCTGGCAGCCTTTGAGCTTCATAGCTGACATGTTCTGTGAATTTACTTAGCAAGTTCTGATACAAATAATCTATGTTTCGGAGTGCTTGCTGACAATCGAGAGGTTAGCATTATATCTCACACAAGTCATTCACAATCATTCTTTTCAATATCTTGCAACACGGACTTGACTTTACCACCCGTGTACTTAGTTGTGGCGGACACGTCACATTCGGAGTTGTCATGCGTCAGCGTTCATTTGTAGCAGCCAGACGTAAAGGTATGCTCTGGGTGGGCATGCGAACTTCACTGCATCTGAGGCCATGGAGACCCCATTCATTCATAAGTCATGCTCATTTCATATGTGTACCCTTTGCCAGAACTATGTGGGGCTGGTGTTCTGGGGGAAAAAAAGAATTTAGTTATTGTCTTGCTGTGTAACGTTAAACTAAATACAGCAATTCAGACTTCATATTGATGGCATTGCAGTGCCTTTGTGAATTTAAAGGAACACTGAAGGAAATTAGTTTGATCTTTATCTATGTAATTATTACCCTATAACACTAAAATAGTTTTGTGTGTAGACGTATCACACCTTGCTGCTTCTCGAATAGAACTGCCCGAGTCTGAATGGACACATCGACATGACCACAAGACCTCCCTTTGTGCTGCTTTTTGTGAATTGGCCATTGGTAATTTCACATGAGATGTGTTGTGGTGCACTGCAGGTTCGGTTGGTTTGTGGTGTTGAACGTCCCAAAGCGGCCTCTAATAATAACTGCAAATTAATGAAATTCTCCTTAATTCTGTGGCAGAACTGAAACCAAAGAACCGATGAGCTGAACAAGCACACGATTACAACGACTTCGCTGTTCAAAACAGCAGTCACAGGGGTGCAGTTCTTCCCCGTTCCTTATCATGTGTCATGCAAGCTGTAATTGCAAGCGCAGCCTACACACTCACAGAACGAAGTCAGTTGATATAACAATGCTCCTTCATTTCATTTGCGCTCTTTCGAGTTTTGGTTTCGCTGCAGAATTGGGGAGAATTTCATTAATTCGCAGGTATTATTAGAGAACGCTTTTCCAAAATCTCAAAACGGCAATCAGTTCTTCGCATGAGGGACTTCAATTCGTCCATTTCACTTAACTGCCTAATTAACTTTTCTAATTACTGTTGCAAATGATGTCTTCAATCCTTTTAATAAGCCTGCCGCTACAGAAAAAGCAACTGTAAAGGCAGCGAGCAAACAGTGTCCCCAGCTGATTTTTAAACCGCACTTTTTCAGTCTTTCCCAATAGCCAAACAGCACGCACCAAAGGTGACACTTTCGCGACTGTTGGCTTTTGTGATCGTTTCAGAATACGGCCGCAGCGCTACTCAGATACTTGAGTTGGACATGAAAACATCCTGATTAACCTCACATGACATGGCTTTAAAGATGTAGTGCTAATTGTTGTAAAGTTGTATGCTACTCACAATAACGACACTTCAAAATGCTAACTTAATCACTCAGCAGTCGGGACGTTCCTTAGCTGAACTTGTAAATTTGAACTCTAGCCACTTCAAGTCACAAGGGTGCATTTGTGGCCTTTGCGATGCAGCACAGGCCTGTTGTGCACCACAAACAAAAACAAGAAGCCATATTCCTCACAGCTGAACGAAGTAATTCGCTTACAGTTTTTTTTGGTTTCAGAGTAATGTCATGTAATTCACAGATTACTTGCGACTTATGTGGCATCATATTTTGTTCCAGATGACGAACTTTACAAGAGGTTAAAAGAAATGCACTCGGCCCTCCAAGCACGGCTGCACGAGGCGGAGTCAAACAGCGACTCCAAGCTTCAGCGGCCAGAAAGCATCGATGACACATTCCACATGCTGCAAGGCGCCCTTGAGCAAGCACTGGGCATCAGTACAAGACAGTGTACAGGATGACAATAAATTCTTTTTTTTAGGTAGCTTATAGATTGAACTGTGTGTGCCTATCACAGAACGGTTAAAGGGACCCTGCAACACTTTCTCAGCGTGGTCGGAAAACACTGTCGAACGGTAGTCGAGGCTCATAAGACCATGTGAGCCAACGCATTATTACACTGCACGCGGCTTGCAATTTACAATTGATTTTCTTCGCTAGAAATTGGGTGCTGTTGTCTCGGGAAATGCTTTCAACCAAAATAAACTCGAAGTCCATGTTCGAAAGAAAGTTCCCAAGGTCATGGTGTGCTCTGAATTCAGTTTCTTGCCCCCTTGTAATTCTCCCCTGAATAGTTTTAAGCATACTCCCTGGTACAAAAAGAGAGAGGAAGAGTTTAAAGCATGCGGCAAACTAACACCACTCATACTTAAGGGATTCAAAATATTGTGTGGCAGTTAATTTTCAAGGCAATAAATTCTAATTAATTCATTCGACACTCGGAAAAGTGTTGCAGGGTTCCTTTAATCACTGTGCTTAATCGGAGCCATCAATAGAGTACACAATCGTGTATATGGTACATTGCAGCCTTTACGTGTGGCTAGATACCATGACTATAAAACCCTGCCATTGTCGGTACATAGGGGTCCTTAAAACCCGCTATTTATTCCACTTCGTGTGTGTGTTGCATTTGCTTTAAAATACTCAAGCAATCCGAAATGAAAAAAAAAATAACTTGTATTCTCACGAATACCCAATGTTATTTAAGCAACAATAGCCATTGTTTTTGTTTTTCACGCAGTGGTAACAACAAGTTAGGCTGTGGCACGCTGGGCAGCAAATGTGCGGTGTACTTGCCGCGTTAGGCACGCGGAAATTCACGTGGATCGTAGTGAATTAAAAGAACTTGACGCCATCGCTGCCATCGAAACAGATGAGCTCGGCTTTTCCTTGCTTCTCTAACGTTTGCAAGGATAGCCGCAGCAGGTCCACGTCCAGACCAGCGAATTCAGTGTCGGCCGTGTCGTCCCCTTGCACAAGCTCGTAGAAGGTGCACACGGTGTTCAGGTGTCCCGTGGCGTCGGCCCAGTCGTGGATCAATTTGCCCCACTCTTCGGGCGACCGCCAGTAGACGTAGCAGCGCGACTGCTGCTTGTCCGTCCAGGCGACCTGACCCCTCGAGCTCATGTACTTGAGGATCTCCTTGAGGGAGTCCGCCGAGAGCTTTCGGGAGATGTCCTTGTTGTGGAACAGCGGCGACGCGAGGGCTTCGGCGACGTCCAGCACGTACGCCTTGTGGGCGCGGTGGTAGTTGAGGATCAGATTGCTCCACGCTTCGAGCTGCTTCTCCCTCGTCGCCAGCGTCGGCTGGAGGGTGAAGAACGGAGGGAAGCCGTACTGCCACGGCCACTCGAAATCAGTCGCCATGCTGCGTGCGAAACTAGGTAAACTTCTAGGAAATTAGCGTCCTAAACTGAAGGCGAAACAATGCGAAAATCGCTCGAGGCAGCTCGGTTACCGAGACAGACCTGTCAACACGGAGGAAGGAAAGGTGCCTGTCAACTTCCTATCAACAGGGCGTGTACGCATATTGGCCTGGATTGACTTCGTTTACTAGTCGTTTGTTAGTTACAAATCTCAAAGGCTGACGCAACAATAAAACAATATTAGAAAACGTTATAATAATAACTAACAGACAATCAATCTAAAAAATTAATTGTAATAGTAGCATTGCAATTGTGAAAAATTCAGGTGATCAAAAAGACACGTTCAATGCTCTACAAATTAAACTTTAGTTTCTAATCTTAAAGGCGACACTGCAAGCGCTTATGTTTTGAAAAAAAGAGCCAAAAGTACGTCACGGCCGCCATGTTTCAAACATTGAGTTCGCTTTTTATTTTTATTTATTATCAGTCATAGATACAGTAAATGCGTGCGGGGCAAATTTACTGGTGGTCTAATTATACATCTGAGGCGACTGTGCCATGATTTAGTGCTGATGTTGACGGCAATATATCACTCACGGCCCGCTTGTTCCGCTTGGCCTCCGCATGATAAACAGGTGTCGCTGAAGGAGGAAATCAAGAGGAGTGGCGTGGTTTGCAGCGGTTTTGGAGACTGTGCGCGAAGAGGCGAATAGTTCGTTGCTGGCCAGTCGTCCCCACAGAATTCTCGTCCGCGTTTGCTACAAGCGATGACGGAGGCGTGATGGATTCAACGGTGAGATACAGGGCCGACCTCATCGATTGGCCGCCGCTGCTACGTCGTCGAGCGAACCTCGTGTGCTTTACAAGGCTGTGCGAACGGTGCCGCGAAGAGATGAGCGTTTATGTATGAGATCTCCGGGAAAAAACCGTGCCTGCCTTCATGCGTCTTCGGCTAAAGTTTGCGCGGTCTATGTTCCAGGTTATGGACCGGTGCAAAAGGAACGGTGCTCATTGTTAGGCGCCAAGTAGACGCAAACCGTGACGGTGTATCGATCAGGTTGTGTTCAACCGGTCAACCATTACCGGCGACCGGGCTTTCCTTTTAGTGAAAACGCTTTCTGAATGATTGGCTGTGTATTACCCGTCTACGTTTAGGTCGCCAGTGTTTTACCGGAGGGCACTTTCGGTTCGGACGTCCGTAGTACACGTCCGTGCAAGTAAGCGACCAGTGAGGGGTTTCTTGAAAGGCAGCGGCGAGTTGCCGCCGAACCAGCCAAGTGTGTCGAATGGTGCATTTGGTTCGTTACTTTCGCATTACCCGGCTCATTCCACCTTCTCTCTCTCTTTTTTTTCTTTCTCTTTCAGAATCACATGAAGGAAGGCCGGCCTGTCAGCGCGTCTGGAGGTAAGCGTCTACTTTATGCGCGCACTCTCGCACGACAAATTCGTGCAGTGGTGGCAGTTTTTTGTTTGCGAAGTCCGTGTTTGTGAGCTCGCATTGCTCGAAACGTGAACCTACATGGCTGATCTAGATTCTCCTACATACACTCGATGAATATCCGGTGTTCACTTTCAAGATTTTATCTGTAACAGTGCTCCTCGTTTAGCGGACCTCAGCACGCGTGTTGCAGTGAAACTTGATACACGATCCGTCGTGGGATGGTTTCTTCATTTAGTTTAAGCTTGGTAACGCTGTCACTCGGTGCTGTAACTGTTCACGACGTGTGTCAACACTAACGACTTGCACCGCTTCTGTAAGTGAGCACAGTAGCATTGCTCGCGCATGTTGCACCTTCGCTTTGTATCCATTCGTTTATTCATTTTCATCATTTCCAGAATAAAAGAAAAAAAATATATTACATTTCCCTGGGCTAGAAGACATAATAATAACAGCTTGATCGGGGCCCAGGAGACCAATTGCATGACAACAAACGACAGCTGAAAGTGTTGAAACACATTAACTCATATCCAAAGCAGGCTGCCTGTGAATAGTAGAAAAGTCTACACTTATTTATTTATTTGTGAAACCATCAGGGTACATTTGTACATTATAAAAGGGAGGGGCGGAAATATAGATGAACAACAAAATAAATACAGTGTTATGTAAATACATTTAACATGAAGATAAATATAATGATAAAGTTTTACATGCAAGGAGTACACTTTATTTAAAGACAACTGAACTAGAACCACAAAAAATACATTAAACAGTCAGTAACACTTACACTGGTTAGTACAGTTCACGATTCTGAGTTTATTAGTGCATTCTTAAATCGAGTGAGGTCGATGATGCTTACTAATGATGCAGGTAGGTTATTCCAATCTATTGAGGTCTTAGAGACGAATGATTGTGAACATGCTAAGGTGTTATGATGAGGTACGCTGACCTTGTAGATGTGATCATGGCAAGCAGAATGGTACAGTGCCAGGTGAATCAAAAGTGAGCGAAGGAAAGGATTGTGGTGATAGATTTTATGAAATAATAAACTGTGATTCCTTTTGTGAAATAGAGTAATGGAATATGGAGCATACTGTTCATTAATGAAACACTAACAGAGTGATGATAATTACCTAGGATGAAACGAACCGCATGATTTATACCAATTCAATTTCGTGAATTACCGCAATCACCGCAACTAGTGGCCTAGGAAAGTTGCAATGGCACTGTGCCTAATCTGGCGGTGCTGTATTGAAGACGTTGCAGTAATTGGTGAATTTGACTCGGAATTTCAGTATGAAAACTTTTGTAGTATTGAAGGATGGTACCAAGGAATAATAAGTGTGTCGAGCATGAAACATACAGTTTCATACTGTGTCTATAGCAGTAACCGACTGTGTAATTACTGTGTGAAATTAGGATTTTTAAGCATAGTTATTTCCCTACTGCACATGCTTTTTGCAAGAGACTTTCAACCGAGCTTATTTTTAAGTTTTGATATCTCAGCGTTTTTAGAGGTGCTGCTGCCCACTGCTTAGCCTGATGATGCTGTTTATTTTCGGTACAATCCTTGCATCTGCTTTTTAAGACCTGGGTTAAAGTTTCTCCATTGATGGATATAAACCTCAAGCTTCTTTTTTTTCCTGGACACACTTATGGGTCCAGGAATTCTATATGGAATTACTGGACTATTTTGACACTTAACTATGGACTATTTTGACACCTAGCTAAATTGGTATACATTTTAGGACAGTGGGCATTTGCATGACAATGGCAGCTATTAAATATTGCTCAACTAAAGATGGACTGTGTGCTTTTTACTGGCATAATAAGGGGGTTGGGAGTTCGACATATAAAAGCACATGCACAAACATACAACAAGTGTGGATTAATGCCATCTGACCGAAAAAAAAAAATTATCCCAACAAAAGAACCTTACCCACGAAGGGCAAAGTCAAACAGATGGAGGGAAAAACTTGGTGGTGCACCGAAAAAGAAACTTCTTGTCATCTATTCTTCACTAGGCAGAAGGGCAGAGGGCTTTCTCAGTGAACTAAAGCAGCAGCTGTAGTGCTTATTTATGTATTTATGCTTCGGTGTCTCACAAGATGTTAATATCCAGTTTATGATTTGGGTGCACGTTAAAGAACCCCAGGTGGTCGAAATTTCCGGAGCCCTCCACTACGGCGTCTCTCATAATCATATAGTGGTTTTGGGACGTTAAACCCCACATATCAATCAATATCCAGTTTATGGTCTTTAAAGGTCACCACAATTGTGTGGGTTACAAGGGCATGTAGCTGGGGTATAGAATAATATTAATTTATGCAGTTGTTTTCTTTTATGCTCAACATTAGGGTTTCTGATAGACCTTTTATTTTTCAGCGACTTTCCTAGCGTTGCAGCCAAGACTTTTCAGTAGCATTGATTGCAGTCCTGCGTTATTGTTGGAGCTCATCAAAATTTCATTTTTCAGTGACTTTCCTAGCATTGCAGCCAAGACTTTTCAGTGGCATTGATTGCAGTTCTGTGTTATTGTTGCAGATCATCAAAATTTAAAAATGGCATTCATGTAGACACATACAGTATTTACCCAATTGTAACCCATAAGGACGAATTTTCGATTGCCTACAGGAAGAAGAAAAAAAAAAATGATTTTCGCATTTCCGTGTTCGATTGTGATGCGAGGGTAGCAAAAGTGCCTCCCGTTCCCCAGTAAAAAAAAAAAAAAAAACGCATTACATTTCAATAAGTATGGTAGACGTGCAAAGTTCTTTTAAGCAACTCCATTTGCAGAGCAAATGTACTCTTCAGGTTCCAATGTGCAAGTGTGTCTGATGGGAGTGTATATACCTCTCAATGGTTCGCATCAGTGGCCTAGCGAGGGAGGGGGTGGCGCACCGGGCATGCGCTCTTTTAGGGATATCTTTCTGCCGTCGAAGACGGAGCTTAAAATGAAACTCGACCACTCTTGCCTACCGGGCTCTCGCTCGCTCTATAGATCAAGGAAGTGCCCGCACCGAAACAAACTCTCTGATTACGCCACTGGTTCACGTCGAGAATCGTGGAAGGACTTGCGTCGAAGTGCGCATTTCACGCGCTTCGAGGCAATGCCGCGATCTCTCGCGTCTGCGCTCGGGTGCCGTACAGGCGAACGGTCACCCTCGTTCTCTCGGGGTAAGAGGTCGAACGACCATAACGAATGCCGCTATCAGCAGCATGCGTCCTCGCAAGTTGTCGACTGTGCAGAGTAGAACCCCCCCCCCCCCCCCTTTCTCCTCACCACTCGAGATCCGTGTCAGCGGCGATGGTTGTTGCGCAAGGTGATTGTGCGTAACTCTATGAGTGGCAGTTGTGAGTGGTGTTTGTTGTCCGATGAGCTTGCGTGCAGACTGGAGTGTGAGCGCCGCGTATAGCTAACTACTATACTTGACTGTGTTTGATACACGGCGGGGGACGCTATCGCTGCACCCATGTCCGCGCCTCGCTGGTACGTCATGCAGTTGCTCTGCTCGGTGGCCGACCGGAAGGTCGCGGGTTCGATGCCGTGGACCCATTTCGATGGAGACGGAATTTCTGGAGGCCCGTTGCTCAGTGCGATGTCGGTGCAGTGTCGGTGCACGTTTAAGAACACCCACGTGGTCGAAATTTCTCTCGCACTCCTCCACGGCGTGTGTAATAGTCGTAACGTGGTTTTGGCTCGAATAACCTATGGATACTTTTGCGCCCCTTCCCGGTGCAAACAAACAAAAAAAGATGTGGCGTAATGTGACTATGGAGCGACTGCCATCTGTAAGACTGCCCGAAATTGAGCGACTTAGCTATATCAGCGGCCCAACAGATGCGCTAACAAATAAAAACGCAGTGATTTACGCGCTGAACGCACCGATTTGCACTACTCACACGAAATCGGAACTTTATACGCCCACGCAAAGGAGGGAAGGGCCATGAATGGAGGTGTCATTTATTTGCTGAGCACAATATAGTGGCGCCAATAAAGTAATTATGACAAAACTGAAATGGATTGATGGGGACGAAGAAAACAGAAAACGACTTGCCGCTCCTATAGGGACCGAACCCGCAACCTTGGGATAACGCATTAACCAAAGAGAACGCCGGCTTTGAAATACCAGAACAGGAAATGTAAGTACGTATTAGCCTTCGTATAATTGCTACTGCTTTACTGTGTACAGTTCCAAGAGGCAATGTTCGCGGCGGCCGCATTTTCGACGCGGGCGAAAATGCCCTAGGTTCGTGTACCTAGATTTGGGTGCACGTTGAAGAACCCCAGGTGGTCGAAATTTCCGGAGTCCTCGACGACGGCGTCTCTCACGATCATGTAACGGTTTTGGGACGTTAAACGCCGACATATAATTAACAGGCGATTTTCCGGCGTACAGGGGGCAAGGGAACAAGTGCGCATTTGTTAATAAGGTCGGGGGCTTTACGAGCCAAAACCGCGACATGGTTATGACGCGTGGAAGACTCCTGCAGTTTTGATGGCATCAGGTGTTCAGGAGCATCGCCTTCGTCTAAACTGGACCGCCGCGGCCGGGACTAAAACCGCGGCCTTCAAATCACCGGCTGGGCAGCGTGACGCGGACAGTGTACTACTATGGTGGCGTTTGTTATTACTGAAAACAACTGAAGCAAGAGAAAGGTCGGCGTGTGCGTTCTAACGATATAGTTATAGCGCGAGAACAGGACGACTACACACAGAAAAGAAGGACACGAAGGACACCGTGTCTCTGTGTCGTACGTCGTTCTGTTCTCGCGCTATAACTATCGTCGTGCCATACCAACTAGCCCAAGCTGCCACACTTCTGAGTGTGCTCTAAGTTTCGGCAGGACAGGATAACCGCTGGTCATTAAGGGTAACTGACTAGATTCCCAGAGAAGGCAAGCGGGTTAGGGGGAGACAGAAGGTTAGCCTTCTGTCAGAAGGTTAGCCAACTGTGTTAGCCACC